AATAGTTATTTGTGAGTCATCGAAATAATTGCTCTATTGCATAATAATCCTTTTTCATTGTGCAGTTCAACTACAAATATATGGACAAAAACAAGTGTCGAGATGCCAAAGCACATCACCTGAACAAATGCACTCAGAATAGTTAAATAAAGTAGGTACTTATGGTAATTTTTTTGGAATAGTCCTATCACCATTAAAAAGTATCAGACAATGTCCTGATTTATTTCAAGACTGTCAGATTCTATAGATTTAATACCATGACAGGTGAATATAAATATACTGAACCCTTTTTTTGTGTGCAGAAATCTCCTCGAATATACCACCCACTGAAAAACCGGTAGGGTTCGACTAAAAACCACACGCCGCGCCGTCTCGGCTACCTGTAGCCGCGGAACCAGGTGTACCCTATTATTGGTATTTGTTGTGGGCTCCGATTTCCGCATTTAGACTCGAGAGTGGTCCTTTATGCGCCTAGAAGAGGTTGGCTAGGTGAGCCAACCAAGCTCCTTCCAGAAGGAGGTCTTAGTTTTACCTATGTATGTTATGGGTATACATAACATATAATTTGTTATACCGGCAAATATATGATACGGTAATATAACGTAACGCCACCGTGCCGAAGTATGGCTGCTACGACGATAAGTCATATTTTCCTGGGAGAGCCATGCTTCAGCACATATGGCTGAGTGAAGTGATGGTATCCCTGATGGCCTCACAGAAATCTGGTGTTAGCAGTTCTTTTGTTGCTTTTCACCGAGCGAGTAACGTTACCGGAGCCAAAACCCTCTGGGGGGAGGGGGGCGCTTTGAAAGGTCAGCAACTCGCTTGTGACTCTTGAATTGTGCGCAGATATTTTGTCCAATATACCATGCGGGCTAGACGGGTTGGTATAGGGCATGTTTCAAATTCTCTTACTGTTGTCCAGTTTGCTCCCTTAGTCGGCTTTTACTACACCTGATGAATAGGGGTGGTGACACCCCCTCCGTATTCTTAATTCGTCACCAAACGGATAAATTATTAATTTATATAGTACTAGCTATATCCTGCCACGCTTCGCTGTAGCACATTGATTGGAAATGAGGAACAAAATGGACGGGAAAAATAGATAAAAACCATCTTTGAAGCGGTTTGTATTTGTTCAATCGATGCAGAACTTTTTATGGTTTTGAATCGTTCACAAACCAACTTAACTATTTAGATTATGTTTGCAACAATTGCTATGTATAATACAAGTAACCTATTACTTGTATTAATAGCTAAACAACAACTTTCCATACATAAAAAAATGCTTGTAATCCAACGTCACAACAATTTGGGGATTCTCTTTAAAACCCAAGTGACGCATTTTATTGCAAGTATTAAATATTAATACTTTATTGTTCCGTAATAATTATTGTCTTGATAACTTTGCTAAAACCTGTTGTGTATTGTAATCACACTGATTATTAAATTTATATTTTGCAGTAATCCTTTAATCTTTAATAATATGACATGATAAGCCTTTGTTTAGTTTTTCGGTATTTCTGTATGAAGTTTACCGCGCCTAATCTGTTAAGACTTTTAAATGGTAAATTTTAAAAAATCTCTATTTCTTAAGATTTTTTTTCTCCTATTTATACTGTTGAGATTATAAAATATGTCAAGGGAAAAGAATGTAACAGATGTTTCTACTTGTAAATAGAGTTAAAAGAGCTTCATAAGGAAGGATAGGCATGAGACTGGTCTGAAGAATGGTCACTGCTTAAAGAATAGCAGCAAAATTATTTACTTTAAGAATAAGTCAAAACGCTTAGCTTACGTATAGCTTGATAATAACCTTAGATAATATTTCCTTAACTTCACCTTACATGCGTGTGACACTCAGTAAAGCAACATCTACCAAAAACTCTACTAGTTTCATTACACCATGTAAACATATTTATAAAAGACTTTTTACGTGCAAGATTTCAAACAATTAAATGGATGAGAATCTCCTCATTGTCATATCGGCTAAATGTTTCTTGAAAGTTTGTGAAATTAGATTTTTTTAAAACCAGCACTAAATGTTTTTTTTTTATATTATTCTTCACGTGGCATTGTCAAATTTACCGCGAAGTATATTTTTTAGTATAGGTAAACATGCATGCCGGTTCATCTGATGCTAAGTGACTAAGACTGCCCATGGACTCTTACTGTGCGCAGTTCAGTTTCACATTTAAAAAATGCAGTTAGATGTGTTTATGAACACTATATCAATATTATTAGCTTAAAATAAATGTACCTAATTAAGAACTTAAATGTAATGTTAATTAGACACTTAGTAAATTATTTGTTTTAAAATTTGATGTTTAACACGCACTGGTTAAAAAGTAATACACAGGTGGTAAAGTCGCGAAGATCAAAGAATATCAATATCTATACATAATAAAGTTGTAGCTGGCGGATGTCGGTAGATAAGAGATAATTAAGAAAAATGTCATAAGGGGTCTTTATATCAGCCGAAGAATATTTTCGGAATGTTTGTTTGTGCGTCTGTATGTGTAAATAACTATTAATACAGAATATATTCTTATTAGCTGAAAATATGTATTTCATTCTTTTAGGTTTCATCTCGATCATTTTGCACTGGCTGTTGTAATAAGCGGAATGTGTGTACGTGCAAGAAAGAAAGGAAGAAAATATTATACATTAGGTACAATAGAAGAAGAAAGTAATAAAAAAAATGACAGCATGTATGCAATTAAAACCACACGACAATATTAATTATTATTATACAAAAATAGGGTATACATGTATTCAGTACAATGAATGACAATTCTCAAACAAAAACTTAGGTTGAGTACTGCACTCCTAGATAGGCTACTGAGAAGCCCGTGATAAGGAGTTACAGTGCCAGACCACTGTTGGTATATGGGCTGATTTTGTTAGTGCCTGAGATACATGCATGAATGAATTTAGTTTCTTCATAGCTTAGCGTTAGTAAGAATTTTGCTACAGTCTTTTTACAGGCAAAGTAAGTCAAGCCGTAGATATTACACCTTGCATTGATTTTGTTGTACAAGGATGGACAGGGAAGAACGGAGATGTGTATGTGGGATCGGACAAATTTTATCTCTTCTACGTGTCGTGATTACTTTGTATGGCGTATGAAGGTGTTTTGTCATAACTATTTGCAGTATACATATAAATTTGTCTGAGCACATTCCACATTTTGTTTAGTTCATTTGTAGGCAATAAGATTGGTCGAGATGTAGCCACCTTTACTATAGCTCTGTGAGCTATCTCTAGGGGCATTAATTTTTGCAGCCCCGCCCCAGCAAGGGATACTGTAATAGATAATAGACCCACAAAGTGCGTAGTATACGTTTTGAATTATAAAATGACCAGCAATATGTCAAAGGGTTTTAAATACGTGAATCAATTTTCTAACACGACATGTCAGAATATTGATATGTTGTCTAAAGTTTAAGTTCCAAAACTATACCAAGATATTTAATTTCTCCAACTGAGACAATGGTCGGGCATTGGCATAGAGATTGAAAATGGGGGAAACAATAATGAGCTAATATAGAGATAGGCGTTTTGGCTGCGAAACTGTTTGGCGAAAAGGTGATAAATTTAGTTTTCGGTGCGTTAAGTGTCCATGTATGTGAGAGTAGCCACTTTAAGGCAGACTATTACTTTTTTCAAAATTTAGACAACTTTTTAGTGGGTAAAAAATTCAATTACCGAGAGGCAGTACACAATGCCTTTGAAGAGTTTGTTGCCTCCCGTCCAGCTGATTGTTACAAGAAGAGCATCAATAAACTGCCAATGCGTTGGCAAAGATGCGTCGATTGCATGGGTGATTACTTCGAATAACAGAAATAAAAAAGTTTGAAAAAATAACTACTTTCACTTATTGCATATAAAACGGCAATTTCATAGGTAAAGACCTATTAGAATGTTTTATTGAGGGTACTTCTTACAGTTTTTTTTACTTAGATTTGTAATTATTTTTTAATTTTTAGTGCCGTTTGTCAGTATTGTTCGAAGTCAATAAGAAGTATTTTACAAAATCAGTATGGAATAGATGCATAAATGATTCTGTGTTTTTGTCAATCTGGTGAAACATAATCTATCTAGGTAGTTCTTTTGGAATTGAAACAGCCCCAGATATACAATTTTTTCGAACCGGGACAGAAAAATAATTATGGCGCCCTCTCTCTCCTGCGTTTGAGATAATTAATTTAAAAAAATATAAATAATTTAAAAATATAATGGTTGGCATTTTTTATGATTAGGACATAACAATAATATATTGGTTCTTATAAGAACCCTTTAATAAATTTGCATTCTTTATATCTTTCACTCAATAACTTCTTGAACGTGCGCTGCATGCTAGGCGATTTGTTGAACAAGTTATTTTCTTTTTTAAACCGTATTATTTTATGATTTTGGCACCCCCCCCCCCCCAAAGTGGCGCCCAGGGCGGTGCCTCGGTTTGCCCCCTCCTAGGTGCGGCTGGTGAGAAACTCGAAAGAATTGCTGGACACTGGTTTTTTGTGAGGCCCTGTAATATCCTTCCGGTCGAGCCGGGCAAATGTTTGTAAGTGGTTTTTAATTATTTAAATAAATATATAACTTAGTAAAAGATGTACATTACAAAATTGAACCCCATGAACCTCTCTTCATGGGGTGTTGACATTACATGATCTACATTTATTAAAAATTAAAGGATTAAGAGTTTGTACGTGTGATTTTTGCGTAGGATTGTCCGTTGTTCGAGAAAATTACAGCCATTTAAATGTTAAAGGGGAAATACTACAAAAATTTAACAAAGGTGTCATCGGGAGGCATTACTGGTCGACGTCATTGATATTTATACCACCTTAACAAGAACTCAGTAATTGATATAGTTAAATAGTCATAGTAATTTTAGTATCTGATACAGCTTATCTATAGTTGTGTAGATAGTTGTTGGTATATAAAGACATGCTTTTAAGGGTTGTAGCTAAACTATACTGCACTGGATGGTCGAAATGTTACGATTCGCTCTGTGTTTCCTTCTATTGCTGGGCCTGGCTTCCGCTGGCCCGGCCTTAGTGAGAAGCAAGGAGGAAATTGAAGATTTCATAAAGTATTTGGACAGAATTAAAAAGGGTAAGTGAGTTTATATTATATTATAATTGCAGTGTGTTAAACATTTATAATTGAAAAAAAAAGCGGCAATAATTAAAAAAAATATTTAATGCATTAAATCTACCGTCAACGTGAACGTTTTTAGAACTTGATTTTTTATTGAATATACAACAAACATCAACAATATAATTAAATTACATAAAATATAATTAAACATTCACATCATCATCACATCAACAGCCTTTAATGGTTCACTGCTGGACAAATACGTCCCCTTCAAAGGAGGTTTTGGCCAACAATTAAACATTATCAGAATAAAATAATAGTTATCAATGGGCCTTAAATTCAGTATTAGCCCTCAAAACATTTAGGTGTTGGTTTGTCTTGAATGTTCCTCCTTTCCAACTTTCCTCTATTCAACTAGTTCAAGAGGGCACAAGTTTAAATGAAAAACGAGTGATTTTAAGCTAAAATGAACCGCATCACTCAATCTTTACATAGTATAAAATAAAGTCACTTTATTGTGTTGTACGCTTACATCTTTCAAACTAAGCAACGAATTTTAATGCGGTTTTTACCAATAGAGAGACTGATTCAAAAAGAAGGTTTATATGTATAATACATGCATATTATATCAGAGAAAAAGCCGAGAATTTCAGTCAGGCAAATTTCGGCAGGAGCAGAGCGGGCCTATAAATATTGCATATTAAAATGTCCTGTAGTATAATCCTATCATAATAATAGTATAATTAATTACTCGACACTAACACCACATTAGAAGTATCCACTCCACAATGCACACATGCGAAGCCGGGTCGCATCGCTAGTATAAGTTTAGTATATTAAGTACCTATATTCCTGTTAGACGGTTTCCAATCATTCATCAATGTCTTTTATTTCATTGAGCAAATATGCAATATTATTCATTTATTTTAAAAATAAAACAAAACTAAGCGAATTGGTTAAATAGCGTAGCCGGATCGACTTGGATAAGATTTCATTTTCTCTGAAATTCAAAAACTTTTACAGAGTGATTCATCAAAAGTGAACTCATAATTAATAGGTACACGCTTAATAAAATAAAAAGGCGTGAGGGGTCTATGGAAGCCCGGTCGGGACGAAGTCCTTTCGCTTTGTGATATTATATCTTTAATACTATATTATATTTTCATTAATAACTTTATTAAGAATAGGTAAGTTATTAGGTAAAGTTTTTGATTTAATTAGTTAGAAAAAGTCGCACATTTTTTAATTAACCAACTTCCGGAGGGACTTCGGAATGTCAATACATTATGTCTTGGGTTCCTTTTTTTCTGGTTATGGTACTAGTTCTCTGAAAAAATTGTATTTCGGTGTGTCATCTAGGAGAGATTTAAAAAGGCATTACTAAAAGTAAAGTTTCTCTCTTACACGCCAAAACCAGAACTATCGTAGGCTTGTACATTTAAAATAATAAAATAACCAATCAATGTATTTACAGGTAACAGCGAACAACCCAACATACTATCCCGATCCGCATTACCAGCCGTGGAGGACTCTGAAGAGCTTAGCGGTCGCTACCAGGGAGACATCGTGCTGGATGATGAAGACTACGAGAGAATGTTGACTGAATATACTATGGGTCGCAATGCGTACAGCACATCCAGCATAACAACCTGGCCAAATAACGTTGTTGTATATGAATTCGCAACCAATGCCTTTAGTGAGTACATCTTTCATATCTTTGCTATCAATGTTTCTTATTTTGTAACTTTTCACAAATTTTAATAACTAAATAGGGCTAAATTCTACGCACGGCGGTAATTTTATGTGATCACTGATCTATCAAATTAAATGTAGATACTTATTTTAGTCCTCTAAATTATAAGAATTAAATGTACCTTATAGTTTTTATATAAAGCTCAAAAGATTACAATTATGATTTCATCATGATTGCTATTAAAAATCTAGTGAAATTCTTTAAGTCGAGTTATATAAATTGGATTACGTTACCAACATTCAAAACAATTATTTTTTACTTTTAAATGTGATTACACACGCTAAAATCCTCGAAAGATCGCATTAAACGCCCACATTTAGCCAGCTATAGTTTTAATCCCACTTATGTACACCAGTATATATGTTAACCAGACACTTCAGGATTGGAAAGTTGTTGAACCGGGAACGAAGTAGTAGGAAAGAGATATTTCTAATACGGTTGGATTGGAGATTGTAAGCAATAGCTCAACTACGTCCGGGTCTACTTTTAACTAGGACTAACTGTTGTCGGGAAATCTGAGACCTTTAAGCTATCTGTTAACCATGGAAACCATAGACTTTTTCTATAAACCCACTATTTTCGAGTACTTCTAGTCGACGCCTACTGTTTTTACGTGTTATCTTCAGTTTAATTAATGTAAGTTTATGTCCCTCAACAGACAGACTACAACAGAATGCAATTTTGAGTGCCATTGCAGATATTGAAGAACATACATGTGTCAGATTTCGCACCCGTGAAAGTACTGATGATGCTTATGTCAGGATCACTGTGAGTATGCTTCTGTTTTAAACAGAAAATTGTAATAATAAAGGTACATACCGATTATATGTTAATTCACCGGAATATTCTAGAAGTACAATAAACTAAATAAAACTAGACGGGCAATGACTTTTATGAGCGAAATAGTATTTTGTAGTAAATTAAATTAATGATGATTATAACAGAAATGAAAATATGAATATATACGTAATCAATCGATTTTAATTTTTCATGTTACCAATTATTTCTCAATGACAAAACATATTATTTAAGTATTCGGTATTCGGCCGAATATAATAAAAGCAGCCGAATAGGCCGAATACCGAATAGTAACCGAATATTCGTTGCAAGTCTACTATTTACCATTGCTGCAATACTGTTTTTTTTAATCAAAATATACGCCTAACGTAAATACTTAAAACTTGACATTCCAGGGTACTACCAACGGTTGCTACTCTCACGTGGGCTATAGGAAATCTAGAGGAGAACACACAATGAATTTAGGCCGCAACACCGTTGGCGTCGGGTGTTTCCGCCACGCCACGATTGTGCATGAATTTATGCACATCCTTGGCTTTACACACATGCACACTACTTCAGACAGGGATAACTATGTAGATATTATTAAAGAAAACATCAGATCGGGTTTGTATCTATTTTTCTCTATTAATCTATACATATAAAATTACTTGCCCTGACCGAATGCTTCATCAACGCACAGCCTAAACGCCTAAAAGTTTGTAGCCCCAACGGCTGTTGTAAGCACCAATTAAGAAAGATTTTTTTGCAAATTTCAATGGAAGTTTGTCTCACTAGAGCTAAGCCGCGGGCAATAGTTAGTAAGTTAATAAGATTTGATAAGTTTGGCCAAAAGACAGTCTTCCTCTAGTGTGATATGTGTGAAGTGGCGTGCCAGGTTACAAAAATTGAACCTAAAGTTCATAGGGTTATAATTTCAATTAATAAAACCATTTTAACATTTGCAGGTACCGAACACAACTTTGATATTTATGATGAATCCACATTACATAACTATGGGGTTCCGTATGACTACGTAAGCTGTCTACACTACTCATCTAATTCTTATACGATTAACGGTGACCCAACAATTGTTCCCAAGCAGGTTAGTATTAAAACACATAAATAAAAAAATAATAAATAAATAAATAAAAAATAATAAATAACATTTTTCACTAGTCTTTATTATTCATAACTGTTGCTAGCAATACAGATGAGCTTATATCATATCTCCTGTGTTTCTTTGTTAGTTAAGTTCCCATTAGTTTAAAAAACGCCTATTAAGCTTGGATAAGATATTTCGTATTAATAGTATACCTCCCTAGTTCCCCAGTCTCACCACTATTTCATGTCTACTAACCGATACTTATAAAGCGTAGAAGTAAATATAATTGCAACTTTAAATATAAACCATAGCCGTGAACATTTAAGATAGAGATTGACCGAAACTTCGGCTTAATACATTGAGATAACGTTTTTAGTATATATCTATCATTCAGTAGACCATCTTGGTCATCTGTAATAGATCGCAGATTGCTATAACATTGTATTGTTTATTAACATATTTCTAGATGGTACAATTAGTACATTTTTGTGTACAATCAAGAGTCGATCTATTTTTTTTTTTTTTTTTTTTTTTTTTTTTTTTTTTTGTTTTATACAACTCCCGCACTAGGAATAAATCCTGTGTCGCGGGGGACTTTACAAACATACATGAAACGGACACAAAGTACACCCAGACTCAGAACAACAATTTGTGGATCACACAATCTATGTAGCTATCTATGTAGCCTAACAGCTTATTTTTTAAAGAGAAGTGGCTTATTTATTGCAAGCACAATAAAATTTAAATTAGGACACAAAAACACAACAGTATGTTCATTTAAAAGTGCAGGATCAAAAGTGCATGATCTGATTACATTAGCTTTATTATCTTTTACAGAAATTCGAGGGTGAAATGGGACAACGTGAATTTGTAACCGACCTCGACTGGCTTCGCATCAATCGACATTACAATTGTCCTGGTGCTTGGAACTGAAATGCATGAAACTAACTTTGATAATATTTTTGTACCTACTTACCTCAATTATAATTAATAAATTTATGTAGCATTCTATAATACAGTTTTACATTTTTTTTTAACTTTTAAATAAAATAATATGGCTGCAAAAAAGAACTTCTGTGCACCCGTCCAAGCAGTTCAGTTACAACCAAAAGAAAACTAAAACTAATAAGATATTATTTACAAAAAATACAAGTTAACTTTTTGTAAGTGGTCCCGAGGGGCATCAGCGACCTACATGTTGTCGTGAACACATGACGATGCGTCTGCGCTTTGATCTCCATGAATCCTGCGCAAGCGCCGTTCCCGCTGTCGCACTAAATTTTGTCAGGACAAATTTCGTCTCTTTGAAATTGTCGAGATTTAAACGCTACAGGCGCTGATTTAATCAGATTTATTAGGTTTTAACTACCGAAATGAATGAGTACTGCCGCCATAATGTAATGTTTTAAATGGCAAGAAAACTAAAGCAGACACGACATTTATTATATTTCAAGGCTAAAGGTTTGAACTTATTGTTTCAACATTAAACAGTGATCTTGTTATTTTACATATATATGTACATATATTTTGTTAATCAATAACAAAGTAGCTGGATTTTCTCATAATAATATTTGATATTTCAAGCTTATTTAAAACGGTTTAATTTTATTAAATTTATAGTTTAATCTTATTTCTCAAATTCATTTCACATAAAAGCTGTAAAAGGAACCATTTATATTCTTAGTAATTTTTGACAGGTCACGGTCTAGTGACACGACTGTTGACAGCTGTAATGCCGACTGTGCGCGAGCGCAATGTAACTGACACCATCAAGACCCACCGACTATACTAAGTTTATGCCACCGACACGTTGACGGTGGTCGGCTATTTAGGAAGATTCGCCGAAATTCGGCGGAATAAGCCGAAGATATTAGGTTACTAGGATATTGTTACTGTTTTCTTGTACTGTGTTGCAATTAAAGTTTTTTTAAATATTAGCGGTCTTCAGCAGAGTCGAATTTACATATTACATTTTTAAGAATTGTTGAATTATTGTTAGTACTGCTTGATGCTATGACAGGTTCTTAGGTAAATATTTATAGGAAAGAAAAATTTAAATGAATTTTTAGTTAGATTGTTTGAGGAAATAAAGTAGATTCGCACTCAAACCTTTCAGACTTTTGATTAACAATAATTACAGTAGAAATTATTCTTAATTCATTTAATTTTAGTATTTGTCAAGAATTATTGAGTATTTAGTAAAACTATATAGTCTATAATGGGGAATATTTTATATCTTTTTTATCTTTACAAATCATAGGATTACGTAAGGAACAGTTGATTTTATTTAAAGTACTAAGCAGAACTTTCACCGTTAGAAGATAGTAGATAAGTAGTTCTAAAACAGTTTTGTGTTTCCACTATAAGTAAATTAGTAAAGTAAAACAGAATATCTAGAGTAAGTTGTACTTATAGCAGGACAAGAAGTACCTCTGCCCTTTTTTTCTAGTTCCTAAAAGTTTGTACATGAGATGAGGAATATGGGTAATGATATTATAGGCGTTGCTTGGCCTCAAGCACCTGATAGATTCAATTTTGTTTTTTATTTAACACTTAAACTATATAGGTACAACATAACATGTTTTGGTTTTTGGTACCTACTGTAAAACCAGTAAGATTTATAAATCCTCAGATATCATCTTCAATCGTAGAAAGAAATCTACTTAAATATTCGTATTCCGTTAGACGTGTAAGTTTATCTATATTTGTTTTTTTTACTACTAAAGACGGGTAACAAAAACTGTGCTAAAAAGGGCTTGTCAACTAAAGTCAACTTCACCACTTCACAACTTAGCCTCAAGGGAGTGCGTTCGGCGTCAAACAAACACGCCAAATATCTATTAAATCCCAACACTGACACGCACTTAACTGTCCTATGGTAAAAAAACCATTAGTTTTGTAAAAACTGTCATTCTTTAACGACATTATCTTAATAAAAAAGTTAAGAGCCGCCAAAGAGAGAATCTATTTCTGTACGAGTGTTTTCAATTAAAATGATAGTTACGCTCACAAATTACAGATTTCCTGAGGAAATATCTGATTATCTGTAATTTTTATCTCAAATATTATTTGTAAGTTTACGAGCTTGTTGGCACCGAATACTTAATATATTGTGACATGCGGGGATCTGTTTTACTTTACTTTAGTAGTTAAGATTAGCTAGAAACATTTTCAAAGAGATTTGTTTGCTGAAGTATATATATATCATGCACAAACGGGCAAGCTTAGGCATTTCTAAAACTTGGCTTGCTTTATCTTATTTAACCGCAATTTTTCCCCATAGTGTTACTTCATAAAATTGGTTTTCATTATCTGGTTTCTCACAAACAGACATTAAAATGTGACTGTATGTTAATATGTGTAGGTAAGTATAAGTACTTATGTCACATTATTTCACCGATTTTCTGCAAACCAGAGGATTTTTTCAGACAGTAAAATAAATAAAAATAACAGTAAATTTTTGCAAAACTTGAAGGTGAGTCAAAATATACTTAATCGTAAATCCTATACGAGGCTTAAGAAATTTATTTAAATTTATACAATATTAAAATGATTGCATATAGTGACTAAGTATTAAAAATGAACACATATGTATTTTTGCCATGTATAATTTAAGTAACGAAAACAAAAACAAAGCATTTGTTTTGTATTTTTTGTTCCTGGCGTCTACTACTGTGGTATGTCACGACGGCATGCTTCCGGATGCGCTTGCGCCGCAAATTGTACGACTCGTTTGTCGCAAAAGTCATTAATTTAGCGAACACGTCAACACAGGAGTGGTCGGCGATGAGTCGGAACCAATGATAACTTATGGGTGATAAAATTATGAAATATGTAAAATATTTTTGAGGTTTAGGATCATCGGAAAGCTGACTGTAGAGCCGTTACTGGTTTTTAAATTAAGTTGTTCATCATAATTGTTTATAATTATAAAATAGATATACTTTTGAAAAATACCTATTACTTTTTCATAATAGCGGATTCAAATTCCAAAGGATTATAATGTTTGGTTTGCATGTTATTATAAAGTCAAACTAAGTATTGTACTTACCTTAGGCGTATATAGTGCTAAAATTTTCTAACATTACTGTACTTAATCTTGCAAACGTCAAATCAGGACGCGTAGAGAATCATCCATCATCAATTACGCTATTCTATTTGTGTATATACGTTTAATTGTTTTAGTATTTTTCGTGTAAGTGCTAAAATTGTATTTTAATTAATCGTTGGGACGAAGTGTTGCGTGGATGTGACGTGAGTAATGGCTACACTGATTTGAGGTAATTGTCATGTGCGAGCGCAGGGTGCTCGCCATGTTGCATGGAAATTTAGAGACATGGTTTTAACTTTACATTTAATTTATTTAGCTGCATTATCATATTTATTAAGATTAATAATAATAATAAAATAATAAAAAACATACTGAAATGAATTTTCAGTATGTTTTTTTTTTATTTTATTTATTACATTGTTCTATTATTTTATTATTATTGTTAGTACACTTATTTTTTCATTAATTCGTCCATAAGAGTAGGTCGACGATTTGTATTCGAACCCACGTTTGTTTTTTTTTTCAAACTATGCATATGATAATATCACTTAACAAAGTAAATTGTTACAAAAATCACATATCAGTAAAATTTTACATGTTAAATAAAATCTAATATTGTGTTTGTTAAATAGCCCTATACTTTTTGTTGATATTAGAAAGGTCTTAATTTTTTTATTCTCCATGGCCACCGTACCGGATGATGTTGTGACAAATGGTTATGTTCACGCGTTATTGAGCCGCCATCCCTTCGAAATGAACTCGTACACGTCGCTGAGACCACACCGTGGCCAAATTAATTAGCAGACTATTTTACTGGAACTCTTAGAAAGCGAAAAATATGATTTATGAATTTTCGACGTATGATTTTTTTTTCTCGAAGAAAGCATTCCTACCTGATGGATTAATAATCTTAAAGAAAATCATGTGTAACTAAAATTAAATCACTGTACGTACATCGTATCCTTACAGGTTAAGTTGGACTTACAGTGATCCCATTTGGACACTACATTTCATAACATTTATTGCCGTTAAAAAGAAAACTAGTTGATATTTGGACTTTGAAAGTCGGAATATCAACTAGTTTTCTTTTTAATAATAATATTAATCTACAAGAAACCTATTTTGTATCTATACAAAATTATTTAATAAGTTACTGCAAAAAGATTTGGCACCAAAGTGGCAACACCTCTTAGGGTTTTCAAAATCAAAATTCAATTTTTAATGGTGATGCTACGTAGGAACTTTAACAAAATGTTCATTAGAGGCCCTACTAGATTCTTAAAACGTTGCAGTATATGGTTGTCGTGGTCAAATCATATAATTATAATTTATAATTAGAATTCATTATGTGGTCGATCATTTCACGAAATGATCATATCATGATAGCCAGATAAACGCACGGCTATTTCAGAATATAGTCAAATCTTAGTGATTATTTCGTAAAATAGTTACATTAACCACAGTATAGTTGTTTTATTTTTGAGAAGAATCATGGCGGTAGATAATTATTTTGTTTTAATAGCGAATAATAATATGCAAATAAAACAAGAAAGTGCAGTGAAATGTCGTTTAAACAACTCAAGAAGAGAATATAACAGTTCCTTATTTATTTAGAATGTTTATTAAACTTTTATCTTTTATTTTTATTAAATATCACATTTGTTAGGGTGTCGATGGACCCTGGCAAATGTGTCTTAGACTACCAGCCAGCCAGATGACCTGAAAAGGGAATGACATATCATGAAAAGCTCATGTATAACTGATAAGGCCAGTGTTAGCTGGACACGTCGTGAATTACACAAAATGGTTAGCTACATCATGATTCTCATTCAATGATCTGGCTACGACATAACCAACAATAATATCAGCGACTTTATATTAATTTCATAATATGTACGTTTTCAAAACTGTAAGAAACGATTTCAGTTCTTGTCAATAATTTAGTTAATCATAATCCTATGATGTCAGAAGAAATATGGGAGCCAAATGGGTATCAAGCTGGAAACATCTAACAATAATGATATTGGCGACATTTAAATCTTAAATCTAATTACGTTTCTCTTTAATGTTGATCGGTTTATAATATTACTAAAGAACATGACGAGATTAGTACGCTCTCGTTACGCGCATACGCAAACGAGCTGTCTTGCGCCACGCGTGCTTCCCGCCGACAACTGTCACCCCCAATTATGGCCGCCACGACACTTCAGCGCGCTTGCATTTGAATTTAGAACGTTTGGTTAAAGGAATCTACATTTTAATATTCGTTTTTGCTCTCTAAATACCCAGAACTTGTAATCCTTCTAAATAATCAATCAAATATGTCGTCATATTGTAAACATTTCAACGCTTTAAAAATAATCGTAAAATATCTTAATATATTTTTTAAATAAATACATAAACTATGACTGATTCGCATTTTATTGCTAGCTATTGCTACTGAAAGATTCTAAAAATAATAACCGTAACTAATAATAATCAGTCAAATCATAGATCGTAGACTGAACTAGAATCACCATTTGCTTGCATACATGCCGTTAGGTAGTCAGCATAATCACACTTTAACTCTTACGCGGACTTACCACTTTAACTGAGTGTGATAATGTTGTGATTTCAAAATAACAGATGCATCTTAGACATCAAAATAAATTATGGAGCCATCGTGCGGTATTATTCTGTAAAAGAGTTTCCACACAGTGAGACCCGTCATGATCGGCCACAAATTATAAAACAGACTAAAAAACAAACTGTAATGATAATTAAAAAAAAAACAAGAACAAAGCACTGGTAGAAAACAGCACCTTAAAACATGAAAATATACAAGCACATGTAAGATTTTCGTTTAGTGTCTGAAAAACTGACTTAAACACTGGTAAAAAGTCAGCACCTAGTCCGAGACAAAACACAGACGCTCTTCTTGCCTGTGAAATTCTGAGAATATTTATTTAGTTATTTTTTTCTTTTTAATTATTACAAATTACCTACTTCTCTTTTTTTAAGTCAGTTACAAGTAAACTGAAATTAAAATTTCGATAGTAACATTCAATATAGTTCTGTGTTGCATCTGGCTACAAGAGAGTATATGTTACGTTACGCTTCGGCCGTTTTTCAACATTTTACACTAATTTAAAGTGACGGGTCGCCGGTTCTATTCCCGGACGACGACGGATAGGTGCGTCGAACGAAATGCATACTGTATACTACATTCTAATATTATACAATACCTATATATTTCAATAGTATTATTATGACAATGTGCTTATATTTAGAATGTAATAGGTAGTAAATACATCAAAATGTAAACCAAAATTTACTTCAATGAGCTTTCATTCTGAATAATAAATGTTTAAAATATTTCAATAACCCGTTAGAGATTTTGGACTTACTGGAAATATCCAATTCTTTTTTCATCTCTCAAACCTTTAAGTATGCTACGCTGGGTACTACTGCCAACGATACGAGCCAAGATGGAAAAGGATTGCAAGAGTGACATTTGACAACTGATAACGCAGTGATCACAATCACGGTCACTTCCTAGGCGGTCAGTCTAGAGTCTAGCCAGACTAGACGTGCCACCTAGGAAAGAAAAACTATTACTGTACAATTGAATGTTACTTTACTAAAAAAAATGTATTCTTATAATAAGCATGAATTGCTCGAAAAAAATAACGAGTGCGTGAGGCCCTGGGCAGTTGCCCCGCTAGCCACTCACAAAGGCTGCTCTTCCTGACATCTTATCTTGGTAATAAGCAACATGAGTTGGTAATAGCAGACGGCCAAATATCGACATATCAGTGAAATCAAAAAGCGCTTCCTTGACCTCCTGTTACACAATAAAAGTGACTATTTAAAAGCCGACATTAAGTGTCGGCTTTTAAATACCTTTGCTATCAAACTAAATAACAAGTATCTACAAAAATCACATATCTACTCGTCTGTTTGTATGACTGTAAATCAATCTACTTGTTACCTCATCAGTGACAATTACAATTGACAACTTGGCCAAGTACTCCTTTGGCATCATTCGCGCCTACCCGTTTATCACAGAATTATGAATCAGACATGACTTTGTATAATTTAATTAAAAAGTGATTAATAAAATAGTTGGATGATTATGTAAAACATTAAATCTGATTAGTTTACCACAATTGGTATTTCAATAAATTTATTTCAAGAAGCCTAATACAAACATATGAATTATGTATTGACAATTGGTATTAACAATTTTTATGAGATAATAAAGGCCAAGAATTTTGCACAAAATCTTGTATCCTTGACACCGAAACTAGGACACGTCCTGTATCTTAGGCGTCAAACCTATACAGAGAGACGATGAGATGAGATGCAGAGGGTAAGGATTAATTATTTCAGGTCCTTCCTTTAAGGTTTCTTAGAATTCTGAATTAAAAGACGAAGTTTTGTAAGATACGACGTAGACCTAATTTCCAGTCTTAGCAATCCTAACTAATAGGCATAGGTGACGACCGGATGGTGTAGTGGTTTGTGTAACGGACTGCTATTCCAATGGTGGCGGGTTCAATTCCCGCTCAAGTCAAACATTTGTGTGCATGAACATGTAATGCTTGATTTGGTCTGGGTGTTTCTATGTATAATATGTATGTATTTACAAAAAAAAAGTATATAAGTATTTATATCAGTTGTCTAGTACCCATAGTTCAAGCTCTGTTTAGTTTGGGACTAGATGGCGTTGTGTGAATGTGGTAGAATATTATTATTATTATAACTGATATCCCGAAGAAACTACTGATGCCGCACGATACCTACCTGATGTTTTAGACAAAAAAATACATGACAATAGATGGGAAAAATCTCTACCTACTGTTAGCATTTTTTTAATAATATTTATAATAATATTTTCGGACGTCTAACACACAACGCCATCTAGATTCAAATCAAGCAGAACTTGTACTATGAAATTTAGATTGACTGATAGAATACTTATTTACTTATTTTGTAAAAAAATACATATTATACATAGAAAACACCCAAACTCCGAAACATATTTGCAGATCATACGAAAATTTGGTCTGACCCGGGTATCGGACCCGCGATCTCAGCACAGCAGTCGCATAACGCTATCACTGCACCACCGAGTCAATATATTAATGCGTAAAGAAAATTATTTGCACACTTTTTAAATAAATATGGCGCACGGAAGCACGTACTTAATATACTTAGGTGATGTTTGTAGAAGATATGCAAAAAGACTAAATTTGTAAACTATATGTGCTAGGTAAGTATAAAGTTAAAATTACTTAGTAGTCTGCGACACTTAAACCAAAAAGACAATCAAAGCGGTCGAAATTCAACAGCCAGGCGATTTCTACTATTCATAAAAAAGACAAAATTTTGTTTATCACTTACCAATAGATCTACTAAATTATCATTTTCTTCAGGAACTGAGGAACAAGTATCTAGGTAAGATAAACTTTCCTCTTAATTTTTTTCATTAAATAAAAAATACAATTTCCACATCCTCCACGCAACATTTCAACAACGTAAACTTATCACAACCAATTACTTAAAAACTTTATGTTCATTTGCGTCTTAGCGCTATAAATAATCACGTTGACGTTTCAATTATTGTCTGAATCGTTTCCCGCTCAAAATATTTTACCTTTTTCATAGGCGGAGCAATGATAACCACGCCTCGCAGCCTTTGAAACTATTTCAGAATTAGAACTTCTTGAAACTCCCACTTCTAAAAATCAACACGAAAGTAATCTTGAAAACTACTGCAATAAGGAATATATTCCCTTGACTAACTCTGCTGCGTTGCAAATGTAAATTGAAATCTAACGGGGTAAAAATACGGATGGAAATGAAGTTTTCTTTCAAATTCATGGGTGTGTTCAAAAGGGACATTTGCTGCATATTTTTTGTACCAACACACATATGTTGTTTTAGAGATGAAGTGGCGAGGCAGCCAGATCACGGTACAGACTCCATTAGTTCGCACATTAACATGAGTTAGCCGAATTATTTAATTAAATAAAGTAATTCAATAAGCGGGTGAATTAATAACAATTATTCGCTTTGGCCACGTTCGATAATACCGGTGTGGGCACATAGGTTTTATTTAAAACAAATGTGACAGTGTTTACGAAATAATAGATTCAATGAATTAAAAATTTAGTTTCTTCAAATTGTTTGTGGCACGATTTGATAGTTGAAGTATGGAGCAAAACAAAGGTAAGAGTGTTCGAATTGTTTTACTAGAATAAGTAAAAGCTGCTAAATACACTTCACAATGTGTGTAGCGAAGGACCTGCGATGCAGTTAGTTATGGGTTCGAAGCCCCGTAACACAAGTAGGTAGGTTGGGTAGTGATATGTGATTTATTGAATGTGATTGTGTGTGTGAGTAATAGTGATTTATTAAATTTGATTGTGTGAATTGTGATTGATTGAAGTTAAATTTAAAATATTTAATTTTGGAAATTTTTCATGGTTCCTTTAGGCGGAATTTACCTAAGTACCTACTCTACTTAGGTAAATACCGGCTAACCCCAGGAATAACTAAAAGTTTTTTTTTTGTTTATGAGTTATATGAATATACACAATAATATTACAATAGGATTCCACTGCTATTTTCATATTATATTACATGAAAATTTAAGGTAATCCAACAAGTACATTACCTACTTTCCTATTTTATTTTAACTATTTATTTTGCTTTGAAATCTGTCTAACTGAGAACTAGGTACATTTTTATGCCTTTATGAAATAAAGAATTACTGTTTATATTTTACAACTAAGTCCAAGCTTACGTTTTCGAAAAAATATAAGTGCCAACCTACAAGGCACTTATTTATTTATCTCCATAGTGTTGTAGTTAAGACATTGTACCAGTTATGGTTTATGGTACAGTCAAGTAAGGGTAGGTACACGCCGGAGTGTCCTTATACAGACCTCGTTGTCAAAGACTTCAGACCAGGCGAGCATGAAAACAGTTTCCACGTGCTTGTAATGTAACTGATATTGCTTGTGTACCCGCCGCTACACAAAGATCCATAGAGTAAACCCGGCGTTGCGTATACGATCTTTACAAGCGATCTTTTGTTTATTACGTAGTTAGATTGGACTTTTGATGCAAATCTCAATTGCAGTTTCAATCTTAATACATATAAAAACTCTGTAGATAGTATTTAGGTTTATATGTTATGAAGTCAAATAGGTAGATTTTTTTTTTAGCTATGGTAGTTTAATATAAATTTAAATTACAAATCAACGCTGTAATGACATGAAAAGCGTATGACATTTATCAATTAATTAGTTTTTTTTTTTATTATCGGCCCGCAATCAGGCAAAGACCACAATTATATTTTCTTGGTATGTAGGATACGAGTAATAAAGTTGGGACTGGTATGACTGTATTTGTTTATTTAAGAAATTATTTATTATTTGAAAATACAACCTAGAATACTTGACTTAGTCTAATGATGGTGGAATTCATCCGTGTGGTCCCTAAATGTATTAAATTATGTATATAAATAGATACATATATATAAATACATATAATAATATAAGATATGTATATAAATTTTCCAATAAAGTATAAATAATAATAATAATATAATATTCTTACACAATTCACACACGGCCGTTTGATCCCAAGCTAGGCAGAGCCTGTACTATGGTAACCAGACTGCTGATAAACGTACTTATATATTTCTAAATACATACATATTATAGATAAATTACACCCAGACACAGAACAAATGACCGTGCTCATCACACAATTATTTTTCCTGGGTGGTAATCGAACCCACGAGCGCTGGCGTAGCAGTCAGAGTCACTAACAACTAACCCAACAGGTCAGTACCTACTGGCTTAGATTTTTTAAATTTATATTATAATGACAAAAATCACATCTAAATTGAGACCTATATAAATTGCAAGCGGTGAATTGATATCTTTAGAATGGAGCTTCCAAGTGGTTCCGTCATAAGTGGGTCTATTGCAAGTAAATGAGGAAGGAAGCAAGTCCGCGAGAAAACCGATAATAGGGATAATGTTACTAATTTTGATCATTTAATTTATATATTGTTTTTAATTAATTGACATCAATGCACTTTTTAATTTTAGATCATGTGTCATTGTTTTTAAACAATACATTATTTTTTATCCTATATAGGCTATAGGTTTGTATTAAGAAATCTCTAGTAAAACCCTCATATTAACGCGCATGTTGGTCCAGTGTTCTTGACTCTAAGCCCATTCGTGATCGTGATGAACACGATCATTGGTTCTGTGCCTCGGTGTAATTTATCTTTAATATAGAAATAAAAAAGTAGGTTTATTAGCAGTCTGGTTACTGTAGTACAGGCTCTGACTTAGAAGTTCAGGATCAGATAGCCGTGTCTAAGACGGGTGAGGTTATTAATGTTATAAAAAATATAGTTGCATATTGAATAAATAAGTACTCCTGAGGCGACGGAGGCTGGTCGTCGGGTGGTTTTAGTAGAAACACCACATGCTCTTGGCCACAACGTCCATAAGGAGCCGGAGACCTAAAAGGATTTTCCACCTCGTCACCAAAAAAAGAGTCGCTTTAATACTTTAATGATACTTAAATGATACTTTAATTGCAGAAATATGGTACATGGGCTGTTTATAGTTGTTATAAGAGAATCACATATTTCGTCAGTCTGTTCTGACATGCAACATTTTAAACGTACATGCATATTATAACAACAGATTGATTTAATAACAAACTACTAAGCTCATGTCAATAAACAATTTATATAATGTCAAATATATAATTGCAATGTCAAATTTTTCATTCCGATAATTTATTTCTAATATAGAACACAACATACAATAAAATATTATCAGGTGTTTTTGTAATTATCGCTCATTTAATTATTCAGTTACTGAGTCTTTTTTATCATTTTTTCCAAAAGCAATATTTTCAATTTCCTTTTAAGTTTCAATAGGGGCAACGTCTTTAATCGTGATATGACCGCAATTTCATCCTCGAGTAACTATAATAGTATGAGGTTCTCGAACAAAGGTTTTAAATGATATTTACAAAATCTGCAAGGTATGATACCTTTAGTATAGCTGACGTAGTTAAATTTTAAGTAAATCGTTTGACTTCGAACAATACTAACAAAGAGCACTAAAGACCTAGCATCAATCGCGGTGGATTTGCTGTCATTTTTTGAATAGTTCCGTTGTCAGATATATGAAATTAAAATGTCACCATTTTTAAAAATCCGTCTTTATATGACGGAGTTAGGCCCGAACATACATAAAAAGAAAATATAAACATCATCAATTGATAACCTAATGACGTTTTTGAAGTCGGCTAAAAAACTCTATTGTTAGTATACGTAAGTGACATTGTGTTTATTTTAAATATCTTTTACAGATGTTCTAAACTCACGTCAACCAGTCACCAAGAATTACGATTCCAAACCCCAAAACTCGATTAACTACAACGTGAACCCCGCTAACTACACAGAAAATAATCACAACCTCTTCCAAATGATTAAATGCCACGAAGACAGCCTCCTAAGACTACATCACCTAACAGCTGGCAGACAAATTAATAGTACTTACGAACCAAGCTATCAGAACGACTTATCTTGGTATTCCAAAGACTTACAACGGCCATACATCAAACCTGTCGATTATCTAGCTTACGAAGACATGAGGAGGAAGTATGAAGACAAAAATTCAAAAGAAAAAGAAATTCAAAAAGAATCTGAGGAAGATAGAGATGCAAAATTAGATGAAAGGAAGAAACCAAGGAGAAATAGAACTACTTTTACCAGCCAGCAACTAGCTGCCTTAGAGAAGGTGTTTGAGAAGACACATTACCCTGACGCTTTTGTTAGAGAGGACTTGGCGGCTAGAGTAAACTTGACAGAAGCTAGAGTTCAGGTGAGGTTCTTGTTAATATACTAAGGATTAATTATAACTTATTTATATGTAACTTTAATAAGCTTAAGATTAACCAAAATCAAATAAAATTTTATTACGATTAATCTTAAATTGAAGATAAGTTTTTACCAAAAAGTTCTACCTATAACATACACAGTTGACAAAAGCACGTTATAGATTATAACAATAAAAATATATATGAGATGTGGAATATAAAAATTGTTCCCGAAATGAAAATGATTTTTTTAAATTAGTCTTAATGTACCGACTCTAACTCTTAACATTACGGTTTAAATACGAAAAGGAATTTATTTCCAAGATACCTTATTATTTATATATTGTACTGTATGACCGGCCTTTTGGTCTAGTAATTCGCGATTCTGACTGTCAAGCCAAAGGCAGTGGGTTCGATTCCCACCCAAGACAAATATTGTGTGATAAGCCGATCACGATCATATGTTCTGTATCTGAGTGTAGTGTGTGTATATATATTTAGAAATATGGATATATATGTGCAGAAATTTCGAGACGATTTCCTCCTATAACGTAAGTATGATTAAAATTATAGTCGACCAAATGTGAGCATTCAATACGGCTCTGTCGACCTACTCCTTCAGGAATAAAAGACGTGACCTGAACAAAAGGCCAGTGTCGATGACCCTGGTCGAAATGTTAGGCAATTTAAATTGCACGTTGCAATTGTAAATCTTTAGTTGATTGCGTAGTCCTCTTGGAAATACTCGTTTATTGAAGCTTTTTGAAATTCCTTGAAATAGATGTCTAAATAACTTGTCACTGAATTATTGCTCCTGCATATCTTTCTAAGAACAGATTCACGAGTTTGTCAGACAGAATTGTTAGTTATAGTTTAACAAATTACAAAAGGCAGCAATACACCTAAACAAAATGTATTTCCTGATTATCAGGTATGGTTTCAAAACCGGCGAGCGAAATTCCGCCGAAACGAGAGGTCAGCCATGTCAAACCACAGAAGTTCTACGAGCCAAAGTACACCAGAGCCCATTGCTGTCCCAATTGGCATTCCTCATCAAGCAGATCCGAGACAAGACTTCACACGAAATTCCAAAGAACCATGGCTGCACCACTTTCAAACGAACAATTTAAACTTAAACCTTGGAATTCCAATTACGAATACGGGTTTATACCAGAACGATTACTCTTTGATGATGCAGAATGTTGGCAATAGACAATATGTGCCAAACTCCAATAGTTTGATGGGGCAAAGTGTAGTTGGCTATGGAAGCACAACTGATAACGGATATGGTTCTTGTGCATTAATTGGTGGATACAGTGGGTCATTGCAATCAGCTCATCATGGGTCGTATAACCTGAATTTGAGGTTAAGACCTCATGATTTTAGCATAAATAATATAGCCCTATAAAATAAGCATATACATATATGTATAAATATATTATGTATAAATATAATATTAACCATAAACGTTTTGTAAATAAATATATGTGAGTTGTTCTTTTTTTTTAAATTGATACCTACGTGATTTATTTATAGGATATGAAACATTTATTACTAGTATATCCTTAGGTGTACAAAAATTGCAGCATTTTAAAAATAAAAACCTCATTCAAAAAAATCTTAATGGAATCCTTTAGTGTGACCTGTTATCAATTATTACACGAAAAGTACGTGTAACAATTGATAACTGGTAAATTATTCAGTGCTACTTTAATGAAATGTTTTATGGATCCCAAATTATCCAGGAGTTAAGAACACGTCGTACATACACTCCAAAACAGAACGTAAACCATAATCAAGCGGTTGAATGATAATAAAGTGATTTAGTGACCATTACTAGTTATTAAGAAGTCTAACCACCACCTCAAAAAATATTTCTTGACTAGGGACTTCTTCTAGGTGTCTGAGTCTCCACCTTTTTTTTTTTTTTTTTTCCGTGTGGGAATCCCCTCGGATACCACCTGTCGGTGGCATGTCGGACTAGAACCGACTAAAACCGCACGCCGTCTCGGGTACTAATAGCCGGGGAACCAGGTATACCCTAGAAAGGAAGTACCTGGTAGTCTCCACCTCAGTATTGGCAATAGTTGAATTAAGCCACCAGGTTCCACATTTAAAACCACTAACGAAAAACGACCCTACACTACACCTGCGTCCATGTATTTAACTAACATTTGGACACGCCTATCTCTGTAATTATTGATCCGAGAGAAAAGTTTCCACGATTGCCCTTTTAATAGAAAGAAAATGTTAATAACCTCTAAATTACAGTTAAAAAGAAATAGATATCATTATACATAGTTGTTATTTTTGAGAGTTTATATTTTTTTAGTAAATAATTATCGACATAAGTAAATCTTATTTTGAATAGTTACCGTTATGAAGAACGATATTATGGGTTTCAACATTTCGACATAAGTAAATCTTATTTTGAATAGTTACCGTTATGAAGAACGATATTATGGGTTTCAACATTTTCTTAATAATATCATAATTAATCAGAAAATTATGATAATTGTGTGTTATGAAGGAAACTGTTTCAAAGTCAAGAACATTTTCAAACATGTTCTAAGTAATGACAGTAGTGGTAGCAGGGTCGAAACAACCCTCAAAAAGTAGGGGGTGACCGAAATATTTTTATGAGGACTAAAAAAAGGTCTACAAAACACTTTATTGCCGTATTTCAAAGTATTGTAAGGCTTACTAAATAATTTACTATTACGATAAACATTCTATTTACGTCAACAACATGTTAATTACAATGTAGTTTAATTCACAATTTTATTTAAATTTCCTGTCTTTCTAAAATTGCTCACATTTATGAATTCTTGAGCTAACTCTACAATATCTAATACATCTAATAAGTGCTTATGAACTTGGCAAATTGCTAAATTACTTAATCTGCTTTCATTCATGGTACTTAGCAAGTATGTTTCAGTCGACGTAACGCACTAAAACTGCGTTCAGCTTCGCAAGATGAACCAGGGCACGTCATTAAAAGTCTAATGAGGCGTTTAACTTCTATAAACATGTCTCTGACCTAAGAAATTGATTTTAAAAAACAAGCAAATGAAATTATTCACAGGACTAGGGAAGACCAGGGTTCTTGCAAGAGCTAAGTGTACCTTAGCTTTGTATATTGCCGGACAGCACAATTGCAGCTATGTATTGGTGGTTAAATGGGAAGTTATTTACGATTTTCCGACTAGCGACTTCTAGCGGATTTTAGGAGAACATTTATCTCTAATCTAGATGAATTTTAGAAACCTGATAGCGGCTTTTATTTTAGTTCAACGGCAACACTGCTTATGACACAAGCATGCAAGCAGCTATTCCCACGTAACGGACTCCTCGGCGCATTATCTCCGAGCTGCCTGGGCTATGGGGATATTTGGACACCCTCGAAGGTTTCCACGTTTTGGTGTTACCACTCTCTATGCATATTTAAATTACCAATTAAGTAACGAAAATGTCTTAAGCTGAAAGTCCTTATTGATCTTTTAAAATATGGATCATGGTTAAGAGTAATGACCGGATTATATGTAGTTAACTAGTTACAGTACCCTATGGATAAGGGGATGTTTTACGAAACTTGACGTGGGGAGGGGATGGTGATTCTAATTACTGTCTGCTCAGGATAATTTATCAAAACTTTGCTATCATAGCAAACAGCTGACCTCGGGAAGTGTTGTTATCTCAGGAAGAATCCTCAGTAACCTGTTTGGCCCGGTATGCCAAATACCTCGGGCCAGTCTCATGCACTATCGAAAGATAAGTGCCGCAGTCTCTTTTATCCCTACGCAGGCTCTGTAAAACGTTACAATGTTATTCAACAATTTTTTTTTGTGTTTTTACGAGATTTCCTCTTGTTTCATAAAGAATAATAATAATAGTGTTGGACAGCTCTGTACTTGAAAGGCTATGCTCCGACTTACAGATAAGCCTTACAACCTACCCTTACAACCCTTCTCCTCCTTCACAAGCAGTTACACATCAAGATCTTGAATTACTCGTAGTACAGGCTTCTCCTGCTGAAGGAGAGGAAACTGACTTGACTTGACTTTCTGAAACAGAAGGTTTATGCATGGGCAAACCGCATACAAAGGTATAAAAAAAGAGTAGACCGATATATTCAGAATCGCACATTCCAAAGGGACGAGAGGTTGGTGGGTCTATTCTGAGAGTGAAGATAACATCTCATATTACGAAGAACTCTATCTAACTCTCAGAATGGATGTAGAGGTGGGGTACGTAGCACTAAAGAGCTCCTTATTGACACGACTATTAACCAACAATTTCGCCGTAACCGAAAAGATTTGACGACATGTTGGATAGATTATAAAAAGACTCTGTGCCGCATTCGTAGCTCTTGAGGGTGATGGAGCTGTGCAAGATTGATACAGGTATATGCACGTTTATGGAGCCATGTATGCGGCAATGGAGAACGGTTCTTTGCTATTCAGGATGTCGGCAATCGATAAATCGGGGTATATTTCAGGGTTACAGTTTAAGTCCCTAGTGGTTATGCTTTGCTTTCAATCCTCTCAGAACTATGTTGGAGAGTTGAGGGCTAAGCTATCGTTTGCAGAGAGGTGATAAGGTTATATCCCTTTACATGGATGATTTAAAACTGTTTGCTTTCAGTAATTTCATACTGATAAATTGACTAGAAATAACTAAAAACTTTAGTGAATGTATCAGGATGGAATTTGGTGTAATTAAGTGTGCAATCATGCATGTAAAAAGAGCCAGGGTTGTGGAATTTTATAGGTTGGAACTCTCAGATTCCACCATTTTTAGTTTTATTGTAACATTTTTCATTGATACAAATATCTTGGAATGTCACCGGCGTTAGGTGTAAATGAGTTGACTATGAAATAATCGTTACAGGAACGCTTCTGAAAAAAGTATTAAATACTCTTTCAATCCACGATCATCGGTGATGAGGTTACATATTCCAGGAAAATGTGGTGGTCGTGGTTTTCTAAATGCCTGGACCTGCCACAATTGTGAAATATGTAATTTCAGGAATTACTTCCTTTCTGTTCCTGTGGATATGCATACGGATGTAGTAGCAGTTGTTAACGGATTCACTCCGTTTGGTCTAGTTAAGAGAACTCTCGCAAATTTGCAGTACTCAACATTACTGATCGTATGGCGATTTGGAAGGGCAAAGAGCTGCATGGACGTTTTTATCGGGCCTTGAACAGGCCTGAGGTAGACTAACTGGCGTCTGTATTCTGGCTACGATTCGGTGATCTCTTCGGAGAAACTGAAGGTTTTTCTTTGCAATTACTAATGAAGTTGTTATGACGAATAAAATTCGGAAGTATATCCTGAAGGACCATGACATGGCCGACAAATGTCTATTGTGCCGACAATAGTGATTTGTCGGGTGCCGACAATAGGCATGTCATTGTCCCGGTGAAAGCCTCAGACATTTAATTGCCGGTTGTTCTCGTCTTGCCAACGGCGAGTACTTGCATAGACATAACCAAGCGGCCAGGATAATCCATCAGCAACTTGCTCTTAAGTATAACCTTGTGACTGTAGAGTTACCGTACTACAAATATGTGCCCGGCCCTGTTCTTGAAAATGGTCGTACAACGTTTTACTGGGATCGCCCTATTATCACTGACAGGACTATTGCTGTAAATAAACCTGATATAGTGGTAATAGACCGATTAGAGCGCCGAGCAACAATTGTTGACATTACCATTCCACATGACGACAATCTCTTGAAAGCTGAAAAAGATAAACAAGTAATGTATTTGGATTTTGCCCACGAGATTGTCGATATGTGGGGTGTTGATTCGGCAATCATTGTACCGATAGTGATATAGGCCCATGGATTAATTGATAAGTGCCTCGACCAACATCTTCAGGCTCGCGTTAGGCAGTGGGATTAAGGGCCTGATGCAGAAAGTAGTTCTTCTCGAGGCGGCACGTATTGTGAGGAAGATTCTGCCTCTGGAGTCCTAACCACCGATATCTTAGTCCCTGTACCCGATACCGATAGGACACTATTTTTTTATGTTTTTAAATGTATTTTTACTTTTTGTACATAAATATATTTAAAAACGTAATTTATTGGTATTTTTAGTGTAATAAAGAGAATAATAATAATGATCCTCGACGGGAGGTGGCTCTTCGACGAGCACTTCTAACAGCTTGCTATAAACCTGGTCGGTAGGAGGGGCCGGTTGTCTTAATAACAGCAGTTCCCGAATCCCTCCTATTTCAGGCACAGAGTGGCACACCGTGTGGTTTCGATTCCAAAACATCACCCCGTCGCAAACCCCAGCGGAGAGACACTTAGGTCGTCGTAGAAATTCCACATGTAAAAAAAAGATCTAGGGCCCATGCTGGGATTAATATACACACAATTTTTTAGCGTTGGAGTTTGTTGCTTGCATGCGATAGATCGATGCAAAGTGCAGATGTTAGTTACAGCTGATTTCAACCCGTTGACTTAGTTTTAACTGATTTTTACAAGAAACTGTTTATTTATAGGTATAAACTTGCTTGTTTATAGGATACATCCAAAGTAGTGTTTATTTGTATACTCAGTTGAATGCTTAATTAAATGCTATTTTAACGAAGTGTATATTATATAATAAGAAGTGGTGATGTTATTAAATGCAAAATGTGTTGCCTATTTAAAAAAATATTAACTTTAAAAGAGCGGGAATTTCGTTTAATGTCAAAATCAGATCAACGGAACGTCAAAAAATAGTACCTACCTTAAATTATAATTTCTTCAAGTCCACGTTATTATTTAAAGTATAATTTTATTGTAGTGTTACAAACCACTTATTTAATTCAATACTTACTGCAGATCAAGTTTACTTTTACACCCAAAGAAATCACTATTTTGTTTGATTAGGTATCAAACAAAAAAATGGTTTGCTACAAGAAACTGTTTATGTTACTATCTTTTGCTGTTGTTACCCATGCAGCCTATATTCTTTTTCACAAAAAGAAGAAGAAAAACAATAAACCCGATATTCAAGAAGTTATTATGTTTAGTTATGGAGATGAGGAGATTAAAAAGAGTAAATATACTCGCTGTATGATTACAAAAAGCATGGAGCGATTATTATACTATTTAAGTCAGCCTAAACATAATTTAGATATTTGTATGTATGTGCTAACTAACTTGGACGTTACGAACACATTATTAAAGCTACACTATCGCGGTGTAAAAATTAGAATAATTGTCGATGCTGACATGGCATTTAGCACCGGATCAGGTATTAAAAGGTTAGCGAAGCAAGGAATACCGGTACGATGGATGAAATCTACAAATTTAATGCACCATAAGTTCTGTTTAGCTGATACATTGAGTGACAACAATTGTGTAACTCCATTCATAATGACTGGCTCACTTAACTGGACAAATCAAGCATTATATGGGAATTATGAAAATTATTTAGTGACTACTCAAGAAGAAGTAGTTCAGCAATATAAGGCTGAATTTGAAAGACTTTGGATTCTCTTCAAGCCAATTGTAGACTAAGATTAATATTGTTATTGTTAAGAAAGCTATATGTGAGAGATTTATATAAAAAGAGTCTGTGATTGTTCTTACTATTTGACTATGATATTGTAGTTGACTGCACAATAATATTGAATAACATAGTTAAGTTGAATGCTATTTATAATCCTTTATTCAAAGTTTTGTTTGATTTTTTTAAATAGCTATGCCATTCCATTTAACTCTTAAAAATTACTTTCTCAAAATGGATGGACTTCTAGGTCTCAAAACGGATGGTTTTACAGAAGTGTGTTGTTCCTGAGGATACATAAAGTTTAGAATAAAAACCTCTATCATATAAGTCTACTGATCATATTATGATATATTAGCTGACCTGTGCAACGTTGTCTGTGTCGAATAATTTTTACTTTTATTGTAACATTTTTCAGTGATACTTGGCTTGGCTGTTGGCAGTAGCATCATGTTATATAGCCCGAGGGTGTATAAAAGTAGAGGGTATAGCCTCAGTACATGGGCTATAAAACAGAAAAAAAAACAATTCAAATCAGTAGTTTCTCAACATACATGTAAGCAAGCAAACTTTTCATCTTTATATGGATATTAGTATAGATAACAGGATCAGTAGACTTCAAATACCTTTTAACATCATTTTTAAAACCATCCAAAACAAAAAAAAATGTGATGTAACAAGTTGTTGTTTCCTCTGAAAATCTATGACTATTATTTGTGTATGGAGCTCATACATTAATACATTAATTAAAAGTTATAAATGAATCTTCTGTGATTTTACTACTGGTTATTGTGCTCACATAGGTAAGTCATGAGTTTAAAATACAATACTTTTTTAACTTTTTTATTAAAAAAGAAACAGGAAAATGCTTAAAGTATGGGCTACAAACAGAACGAAGTTCTGCAAGAAGTGACAGAAAAAAACACATTTTTCGGTCTCACTCCCATCATCCGCTCAAAGCGTGTAATGCGCGATGAGGAACTTCGTTCCAACAATTTACTTTATCATGGGAGACCCATGATTCAGCACACGTAGGCCGGTTCGACCGGTGCAATACCACGGCCTCAAAGAAAACTGGTCGTGAAGCCGGCCGCTCCTACATTCCCTCGTCCCATATATTAGGGTATTAGCGCCGTTGAACAATATGAGAATTTCTCTCTTGACAAAGTATTCCCAGTCGCCTCCACATACATTGCTAAAAGGTGGTCGTCGGTTATAAAGTTCCCTGTAGCAACCGGGTCGCGACTGGCAAGTTATTAACCCCACTTCAAATCGCTGAATATGTGGAGTGGATTAAAAGTTATATCTAAAACAAATGATACACTTAAAATAGAGGGAATGTGGAGCAGCACCGAACTGAATTTCGACCGAATTTTATTACGAGATTTGCCCTTCTGCTCACAACTTTGCACTTTTTTTTCGTGCGGAAATCCTCTGGGATACGCACCGGTATGGTGGTCATGTCGTCGGACTCGCACCGACTACAATCTGCACACCGTCTCGGGTACCAGTAGCCGGGCAACCCTGGTACCCCAACGTACCCTGGGCCATCTAAAGATTACAGTGAGGACCACGGTGTCTCCTTCCGGTTCGAAAAGGGTGCGCGCGCTGCGGAGCTCGTCGCCGCACTTATTACCCCCAGTTCTGCGCTTATGAAGAACGGAGGTCGTTCAGCCCGGTCGGCTCCCGGGCCAGGCATACCTAGAGAGTTCTACTCTCGGGGAAGTAACCTCTCCCGGTCACACTCCACCCTCTCGGATGTGATTAGGTTACTATTAGGCTGTAACTCGCAGTCTTAATCAAGATTTCAAGAGTTAGACTTCTATTGTTGTTAATTATTGTATAAAATATGCAATAGCATTAGTTATATTATTATAGTTATATAACAGTGTTTGGTAAAAAATTTGAAAGTTTATTGAAGCTGTGTCTTTTCAACTTATAAACTAAAAAGCTAACTCTGTAACATTGCTAGAAGATGTACTTTTTTAAAAAGGAATTCAATTTAAAAAGTTGTCAACTCACATTTAAAAAAATACAGTCAAACACAAGTCATCAGGAATTGTTTGAAGTTTGTGTACCTACATGGCCATTAACCAAAAGTTGAAGTTGCAGTGTAACTAGTACCTACAAGACAAAGAGCTTATAAAAATATAAATGTTAGGGAAGGGAACTAGGCGCTGTGGCATACGGTTGGTAGATAGAGAAAGATTATTTTGGTCTTGCATCTCTGCTCTTCTCTCTGATTGGCTATTTTAAATGCCCTTTTAAGTATCAGCCAATCAGTGCAGAGAGTTAAAAAATCTATACTACACCATACTATCACCATACCAAAGAATATATCTACTCTCTTACGAAATTTTAAATTTATCTTTATGGTACATGTACATATTTTTCTAACCTGTTGACATAATTTTTATGATTATTAACATCAAGGTTAGAAAACACGCTGTATTTACTTAATGTACAAGAATTTATATTACAAAATTCGACTCTGTTAGGCCTTCTACCTCTTAAAAATACCTATAAGTCAAGCTATTTGATTACTTTAAATGCCAGCCATATCCCATAAGTGTTGTTATTTAAACGGTTTAATTTAACGTCATTAAATCTTACGTCTTATTGTTTGATAAGAATGACAGCAAAGGACAGATTAAAGTGATAAAGAGGCGAAAGTTCAGTCTGATTTCTTAAATAATAGGCAGACTGCTCTTTTACAGAGTAATCTAGATTATTTCTTGTTTTATCATTAAATATCTAACAAGATGGTATCTGGAATAGTTGCAGGAAGACTTGCATTGGTAACGGGTAAGTAAAAACTTTGTATAAACTTATCAGTCAAAAAAAATATTTTTATGTTCTTAGAATATTTTTTTCTGACAGAACACTAGTATGATTAATTTGATTTTTTTTACAGAAACTTTTTTATTGAATGGTTTATAATATGGATATAATGAATCCAATAAAAAAGTCGTGTTAAATATTTATTTCACTTATGCTTATTATGTAGAGGTACATTACATTAAATATTTTATATCCTAAAACTCTCTGGCAGTCTTACTAAAGATGCATCACCATCAACACATCAACAGCCTTTAATAGTCCACTGCTGGACATAGGCCTCTCCTTAGAAAGGAGGTTTTGGCCAACTATACCACGCTGGCCAGATGGGTGTGCATAGGGTTTGTGTCAAGTTTTCCTTCTTTTTGCAGTGCTGGTGTCCTGCGTTGTTTTGCGCCCTTAGTCGGCTCTTACGACACCCACAGGATGAATTTTTTAAACATTCTATTATTGGTAGTTTGATGCTAACCAAAGACTAATTGAGAACTGCTAGGTTGTAATGTGTACTAAAATTGATGATGAACAAATAACATAATGCTTTAAAATATAATGTACTTTTCCCATCAGCATCCCAAAATATATTATGTTGTTTTTATAATCTATTTCAGGTGCTGGGTCTGGACTAGGTCGGGCCACATGCCAGGTGTTGTCCCGAGAAGGAGCCACTGTCATAGCCGCTGACAAAAACTATGATGCAGCCGTAGATACTATTAAAACACATACACCATTAGCATCAGGTTTTAATGGTATGACAGTTCAGTAATTACTTATTATTATTATTTCAGTTGAAGTTCATGGTGTCACTTCATAAACAGTTCTTAGATTTAAGTTAAATGTACTAGGGCACAGTGGTTTAAGTGTTGTTTATAAATATTTGTTATTTTATTACAATTTTAATAAAAAAAATTGTTTTCACATGAACTGATCACATTTTGATAATGACTAAGGTTTGTTCATGAAACTGAGGATTAGTGGTGGGTTTACCCTTCTCAATTAATCACTCAACAATAGTGTAGGTAGACTCCATTATGAGGGTTGGGTGCAGAGACTATGGCCATGGGGAAGCTTTTTACATAGTATACAGTATGTAATATTTACTTAAGATACCTCTCATATTCAGGCATCTCTATTGTATAAAAATGTAACAAATGCTATTATTGTTAAATTTCTAATACTTATATCCATTACTACAAAATATATTTAACTAGTTGTACCCTGCCCAGCTTCACTGTGGCTCATTGTAGTTACATCAATGAGAAATGTGAAATAAAACTGACACAAATGAGATAAATATACCTTTTGATGTGTGTATATTGTGTTAAAATTTGAGATCAATCAGTGTAACATTTTTTGAGTATTTGAAGTGTACTAAAATCAACATAACTTTTTATAAATAAGTATATTCAATTAATTAATTAATATTCTCTTTTCAGATGGTGATCATAGTGCCGTAGAACTTGATGTGTCAGACTCAAGTGCAGTGAACAACCTGCTAAAGACTACACTACGTCAATATAAGGCACCGCCAACAATCATTGTAAACTCTGCCGGCATCACCCGAGACAACTGGCTCTTGAAACTATCTGAGGAGGATTTTAATAGTGTTCTCAATGTCAATTTAAAGGTAAGGACTAAGAATGAATATTTTAGAACCAAATAAAACTGTCTAAACTGCAGCCTCAACACAAGCTCCTGTACTGTACTGTAGCTGGAGCAGTCTATAGTGGTATTCATGACCATTATGACAGTATTTTCTGAATTGACCAGGATAAACAATTATAAACCACAGCAACTAGGCTCCTAGACAATTCAAATTAGGTAGTGTTATTACTTGACTTGTTTTAAATAAATATATTTTATATTAAGCCAATATATATCTTCAAATCCCTTATCAGGTGCTGATATTATACATGCCTTTGAAGGAAATCAAAGAACTGTTAAATACAATAATTTCAAATTATTTAAACCAATTGTTGTTCTAACATATTTAAGCTAAGGTCTAACCCTTATCAGGTAGACCGTCGAAACTTGGGCTAGTGAGCTGGATAATTTTAAAAGGTATTTTCTTCCTCGCAGCTTCATTCAGACTCACAGAGAAGTAGCGTGACTCTTCATGTGCCGAACATTAGCCGTAAGCAAACCTGTCTTCCTTAGCTACTTTTTTCTTTTTTTACACGTAGTACCGTATTTTTAAGAAACTTTATATTTAGAATATTGTAAAAAGATTTCACAGCCTAACAATAAGTAGTAACATAGTCTATGATATCTTAGTATGTTGGAGGTGAAACCATCTCTATTAAAAAGGTTTGAAAAGAATTATTATTGCTTTCAGCGTAATAGACAATTTGTTTTAAGTAAAAGTAGAGTAGTTTAAAAATAATCTGTCAAGTAGTCTAATTATATATTTGTTTTCAGGGAACATTTTTGGTGATGCAGACGTTCGCTAAGGCTTTGACGGAAAAGGGCACTCGGGGGTCAATCATTAATTTTTCTAGTATAGTTGCTAAACACGGCAATATGGGTAAGTAAAATGAATTATCACACTAATATTACAAAAGGGGAAAGTTTGTGAGTGTGTTTGCTACGTCTTCACGCTCAAACGGATGGACCAATTCTGATAAAATTTGGTAAGATGTCGAGGTAGCTAACACTGACACCCTAGATTAACACATAGGCTACCTTTATACCAAAAAAAAATGTATTACTGTACGATGAACAAGGAATTCAAATATGTTTGATCAGCGGGGCACAGCTCTCAGTAGTATATAGTAATATAATAATGTATCTCAGACTTTTACGACTGTATTACATAATATAGTCTACATAAACAATTTTATTTATTAAATATTTGCATATATTTAAGGTCAAACAAACTATGCTGCAAGTAAGGCTGGGGTCATCGCAATGACACAATCTGCTGCCAAGGAATTAGGAAAGTTTAACATTAGGTAAGGGAATTATTTATGAAATAATAATCTACGTCACATCCGAAGCTACTCGACTCTTTGAACCACTGTTTTCTCTGTTGTAGCTGGAGGTAGTCCAGTACACATAACAAAAATTTCACGAACTCGTGGCAGAGACGTATTGGACGTGTGTGACGTTGCTCCGTCCTGCTGGAACCATGTTCTTTAGTTATGGCCAGGCAAGTTTTGCAGTTCAGGCGCCAAGAAGTCGTTTAACATCTCCACATAACGCTCTGAATTCACTGTAACTGCACGCCCCCTTTCGTCTTCAAAAAAGTAAGGGCCGATAATTCCTCGCGCCGACATCGCTGCCCATACTTTCACTTTAGGCAATTCTGCTTATTTACGTGTCCATTAACATGAAAATGAGCTTCATCCGAAAACAAGATGTTGGTAAACGTTGAAAAGCGCTCAATCGCCTGATTTACGAAGTCAAGGCTCTGACTGGCATCTTGGGGCTTTAATTCTTGCACCAATTGAATTTTGTAGGGGTGCAGATTTAGGTCTTTGTGTAAAATGCGGTGTAATGATGATCTATGCACATTTAAAGCACTTGCGCGCTTCCGAATTGAAAGGTTCGGGTCGTCACGAACAGACTGATTAACACTCGCCCCGTTTTCTACCGTTCTTGATGACCTTGGTCGCCCGGATTTTGGTTTTTCCAGCGTTGTACCGGTCTCTTCAAACTTTTTGACCCATTTTCGAATAAGAGGAATGCTTGGCGTATCATTTAAATGGCGAAAACCTCGAACACTATAGAACCTTCTACGCGCTACAGTCGCCGAATCACCGTTTTTGTAAAACTCTCGCACGCACAACGTACGGTCTGCTCCCGAGAAACGCTCCATAGCAACTGAATTCCCAAGAGCCAGGCTACCGATTGACATAACCCCCGCGCCCCTCGGACTCGTTGCGTTCACGCAGTAAGCTAAATAAATATAAACTTTCTTTTGAGACACCTTGTACTAGAATTTACATAGCTTTATTAGAGCTGTTGGTTTGGTCCGAAATATTGTGTCTGGCACAAACTCTGAGCTTTCATAGTTAGTCGCTTATTTTTCCACTAGTACCATTCTAAATTTGAATGAGTTTTGATTGACGTTGTTTAAGAAACTGTCTTATTGCTAGATATTTGCTTCTTTCATAAGAGGTTAGCCGGTAGTTCATCATGCACCTACCTACTAGAATACCTACTATAAACAAAGCAGTGCTCACAATTCTGATTGATGATTACCATAATTTGTTAATTTCAGAGTGAATGCTATTTTGCCTGGATTAATAGAGACTCCAATGATAAAGTCAGTTCCTGATGAAGTACTACAAAACTTCCTGAAGAAAATACCTTTAGGTCGACTTGGAACTCCTGCGGGTAGGTTTATCTAATCTCATTACATATGGCTATCATGCCTTTATAATCATGCATTTATGTATTGGGGTTTTTATTATATTGTGTAAAAAATATTGTTCATCGGCTCTTGTCTACGTTTCCACGATCCTCAGTAAAAGGTACTGAATATCGAGTGGTCCCTTGGCTTGCCTTATCTTAATAGTGCTTGATCACTCTTAATCGTCCCGGAAATTATGACCGGGAATAAAAAAAAGCCGCATTCATCATCGAGATTAGGAGTGTGGGTTACTGTCTACTGGGGGTGTCCAATCAAACACGAACTCCATATAAACGATTTTAATGTCGTATAAACTTTTACACAGCACGCAATTAACCAACAAAACACTCGATATTGCCCTTGCCCTTAAATACCAACTTGTGAATTTAGAGGTGCCATACTATAGGTATTTGCCCGACCTAGTTCTCGAGAATGGTCGGGCTACGTTGTATTGGGATCGATCTATTATCACAGACAGCACTATTGTTGTCAATAGGCCTAATATTGTCGTGATAGCTCGATTAGAGCGCCGCGCAATGATTGTTGACATCGCCGTTCCTCATCATAAATACAATAAAAAAATACCGTCAAGTTCTCAATGGGCTAAATTTGACTTCATATTTTTTCAGAGGTAGCTGAGCTGGTTGCATTCTTGAGTTCGGACAAGAGTTCGTTCATCACGGGGGCTGCTATCGACATATCAGGAGGATTTTGAATATTTCAACAATCGAATCCTTAACATTTCGAATAGTAATATCTCAATTTAGCAGATTAAGAAGACATGAAACTAAAATATTTTCCCTTTTTCGTGAAAACTCGTCGATATTTATGTAATATGAAAGTCATAAGAATTATTTCCTTGCGAAGTACTTACATTTTTTGTGTATTAAGATATTGTTGTATTTATTCTGTGTCTAGATTTAGTAGGCAGGCCACTAAACATCTGGTGACTTACTTGACTTTAACAGAATAGGGTTATTTTTACATAGTGCAGAAATAAATGTCAGGAATACAACTGTCTAATCTTATATATAAAATTCTCGTGTCACAATGTTAGTTACCATACTCCTCCGAAACGGCTGGACCGATTTTTCTGAAATTTTGTGTGCACATCTGGTAGGTCTGAGAAACGGCCAACATCTATTTTTCATACCCCTAAATGATAAAGGTTCTACCCCATTTTTTTTTTACATGGCGAAACAAAGTTTGCCGGGTCAGCTAGTTTATAATAATCTAATAAAATGGTCACGCCATAGACCTTTAAAGTCTGTAAGTTTAAAATACACATGACTGATTGAAGATAGACTGCATGGATGGTGTAGTGGTTTAAGCGATTGCCACGCCGCTTCCTACTGCACTGATTGTTGTAGGTTCGATCCCAACATGGGAAACCACTTTGTGAGATCCACAAACTGTTGTTCTGAGTCTGAGTATTATTTGTCCGTTTCATGTGTTTGTAAAGTTTGACACAGGTTGTATATTCCTAAACCGGGCTTGTCTTTTAGAAAAAAAAATTATATGAATTTTTATATTTCTCTTTTGCATACTTCTAATGCAATTCAAAATAAAATCATATTTTAAGGATTTTACAATTATGTTTTATATAATCATAACGTGAACGTGACATTTTAGTGTATACTTATTAATATGCACAGTTACTGAACAAATCTTGGAACTCGGTTTTTAATTACTTTTAATTTTTGTCTCGTTCGCAATATCTAAATTTGCTATAGGACCGCGTACCTTACCCGTCGGCATTAGGATTAGAGACTGGCCGGTTCAACGGTCACTCAGTTTAAGGTTGAATTCACTTTGAGCTTACTTTGCAACTCTATCGACCGTTTTCGGCGTAGCCATTGGTGAAGAGTTCCAAACGCGATCACCTGACGATCGAGTTGATGTGAAATATATTCACACTTGTAAAGTTCAACTCAGAGAGCCTAGTGTCAGTTCATTTCTCTATTCTCTTTCTCAGTACAGAGCAATAGCACCATGGACCTAACAGTTAGAATCGGATGGCTATAGATCATGACGAGTACTACCTATTGGTCGATTGCAATCAGTATAAAAAGTATAGTACTTAAATACCTTCTTTATGCTAGATCAATTAATCGGTTTATTAATACTCCTTATTTTAATAAAAGTATATTCGCTTTCGAACCTAGTTATTCGGTATATCATCGATATCGATGGTCAATATTCGAGTAATCTCTAATGCGGCCCTAATATGACTACTTAACTATAGCAGACAACATGTGACAAATATATTCATATATATTTAGATGTACTCGTATATTAATTTATTGTTAAATGAAATGAAAACTTATGTCTCCGCTTCTGAGATATTTTTATAATATTTAAAAAGTGTTGTATTTTTTTACATACAATATAGTTTATGACAATGTTATGAATACCTATAAAGAGTAAATGAACCAATGGTTGTATTTATCGATTTGTTTTATTTCATCACTCCCTGTCTTCGATCAACAATAGGAGTTACGTTTTAAAATATTGTTATAGGTATAACGACAAATACCCCAACAAGCGTTCCAATATCGGCTTCTAAGGAGATATCTACAACGGCCGCTGAAGCTATCGAATGTCACTTGATAAAAAAAATAACTAGGCAACGTTTTCTTCGTCCAAGCATAACAAAGTATACCTAAATTTAGATGCATATATAATGCGAGTGCAATAACTTGTGACCTGATTGCACAAAAAGTTGGACTACAAGCTTCGACACGCGACTTCGTCTATGCTATTTTTTAATATAAAAATAACATAGATAAATCGTTGTACTCAAACGACACTTTTTATAAATCTTGTAATATTATACTGAGCCGAAAACAAAAATCAATATTGTTTGTGAGTAGTAATTAAATTTAATGCATTTATTTCAGAATTGTAGCTAATTATAAAATGTTTATGTGAATCCACACAAGTCTCAACTTAACGCGCACGGATAAAACCTATGTCTACTATTTTATTATCCTATCATGTTCAGAGTTATCTATTTTATTTCTGCAGTGAAAACTTTTAATTGGCCTTCACATATTAATCTTATTTTAATTGTACCTCTAGCTGTAAGTTTCCCTAAAATATTAAAGTAAAATAATTTGGCCCGCAAAAATATGAATGACTTTTGATCATTTTCCTAAAATAAGTGCTATCATTTGAATGAATTGAGTTGATTATAACGATTTAAACATTTTCAATGAGGGTCTTCGATACTTTTTCTGCCACCAGACGGCGCTTCGTATGCGTCAGGTCCAAACAGCTGTCTGACAGCACAGATTCTTACCGAACGTATAATATTTTAGTGAAATTCTATGAATTTGGAAGTGTTATTGAGTTTATTATAGATTACGGCCAGAAAAAGGTTGCCGAACTGAAGATTGAGCTCAAAAAGAGATGCGCAAAAGTTTTATTTGCACACATAGGCACTGCACTGTGGAATTTTAGAAATCAGTATTCCTTTTATAAAGATCTTAAGAATGAATAAATCAAAAAAATGATCGAAAAATACAAATCGTAAATGTGTTTTGACAGGTGGTTGGACCTGACGCTACAGTGCTGCTATCTCACTTGGAACATGTCAGAAAACCCTCATTAAAATAATTTTGTGTTTATAATACAGTTAAAATGAGTAAAAAGATCTTTAGACTAGTTAGAACTAGTTTTATTTAACTGAAACCTTTTGTGAGGTAATTGTTTTTACATTGATCTGAGGGTAATTGTAAAAACGGTACTGTCAAGACTGGTAGTGCGGTTACTTATTGGATCCCTATCGCTTGTTACACGCTCTGAGCGGCTGGGGCCTGGACCGAAAATGTGTAACAAGACTTTTTGACACTTTTTGTTATAGTACGCACGCACTTGCTTAGATCTTACTAAGCAATGAATTTTAATGCGGTTTCCACCAATCGAGAGTGATTCAAGAGGAAGGTTTATATGTATAATACATGTATATTATAATAGAGTAAATCTGAGAATTTCAAAGATTTGTGATAAAAAACATGTTTTTGTGCGCTTACATTGCAAACGCTGACCAAACCTTAGGAGATAAACAAAAATAATGTACTATGGAATTGTATATCTTAATAAGACCTACAAAGAAATCCGTATATCTTTTAAATCTTACAAAAAAATATGGCTTATTTACGAAGCTATTTTAAAGAAACATTATTCCTTATCCAATAAAATACGTTAGAGATGTTGTACATTTACTGTAAATTAAAATTCGTTCCAATTGTTACTTACCCAACTACAGTAGTCGATGTTTCATTTACTTCCCTTAGACGAAAGGCGCAGAATTGCGAACTCATCGTTCTTTAACATAATGAATGACTCGATCCAAGTGATTGAGTTTGTGAACAAAAATCGCACTAAGTGTACCATCTAAGTCTTACCGCAGATCGCATCTCCTGTACACTCCTACTGTAAGCACAAACTACCGGGAAGATGCTTATTTAATAAGGGCCAGCCGCATACATAACATGGCATGTCGGATTGTAGAATTCAACCTGATCACTACCAATGTCACTAAAATAAAAAGGATCATGTGTAACCAGTTTTTTAATGTACAGCATTAAGTTACTTTCAATTTTTACGATTACTTTGTAAGTTTACTTGTAACACTGTAAGTTGTTGCAATGTTAAGTTATCAAAGTTATTTAGTTGTATGTGAAAACTCGTAATTAGCCAGCTATATAAGGTGGGTGGACCATGGAAGGCCACGCTCCTTTGAAGGCCAACTATTAAAAAGTCGTAGTTATTGACATGTAAAGACATATTCCTTCTACTACACACTACAATCCATTAAACTGAAGGCCACAGACGCGGCTGCGAGTCGCTCGCGCCGCTATTGTGGCAGTGTGATCTCACACTTCGTAGACTTCGGTTGTCGACGTTACAATTGTTATTCGCGCGCACAGCAAAACGTAAGTTTTTAGTTAAATAACCTATAGTTTCCTTATATTTTTTACTGTGAATTGTCGTGTAGGGATATTTTTATGGAACTCAAGAAAAAAAAAAGAAATTGCCTCGATTTAAGTGAAAATATTGGGAGTGTTCCTAGGAAAGCCTTATAAGGCCAATCAAAAATTTGACGGTTGGCCTTGCTAGGGAACATGGGCCTTACATCTATAAACCATGAACATATGAACACTTATTATGTAGTTATAAATACGTACCGTTAAAGTTAAAACAATGTTTTATATTTATAATATTTTTTTAAGGGTTTTCTAACTTTTAAACTCAGATTGAATAGACATTTTTTTCAAAATTATTTTATTTTCAGTATATATTTAAATTTATTTTATGTCTATGAAGAGGTTATGTCTGGAAATAAACTAAACTAATTTACATGAAAAGCAACGAGTATAAAAAATATTTGCTTGTTAAAAGCGGTAAAGTAAGTATGAGATAAGTTAAAAATTGTATATCTAAAATAGTCTGTCTAAAACTATAATTAAAGCAAAAAAAAAATTATATCAATAAGTTGATAATTGAACAGATGATTAAAATTTTTACGTATTATTTCAGATTTCGAGAATGTCACAGTCAAAACCTAGGAAAAGAGGTAGTAAATGGAACGAAGATAGTTGCGTTGAAGTTTAATATTCCAAGACGCACCCTTAGAAACCATTTAGTAAGCGGTAACAGTACTAAAATTATTGGGAAGACAACTATTCTCACAAAACAATTAGAAGAAGA